GTCATTTAGCCCGACGACACCAGGAATCCTTTTCAGTCCAACCCTGTCAAGGGGTAAACCGCGGGCTTACTACATCACCGTCTGAACTCTCTCTCTCGCTCGCGCGGAAAATGCCCTGGTAGCCGCGCGAAAACTTGGAGCGGAATATGGATGAGCGCGAAAGAAAAATGCACGGTTTTCCCTCTACATTAGCGTGCCGTAACGTTACGTCGCGCGCACAAAAAAAAGAAAACGGATTTTCCGATCAGGAAAATCCGGAGATTATGACGAAAATCGCCGATTCTGTTTTCCTTCTAAAAAGAAGTCGCTCGAAAAAAACAAGAGAGGGAGATCGAGAGGATTTTCTAATTGAAACGCGGAAACCGGTTAAGATAAAACCGCGGGAAAGGAAAATAGTGTCGCGCCCGTGCGCGTTGTTGAAACTTAAAGAACGTCGGGGGGATAGAGTTGGTCTGCATTCTATGGGAAAATCGATTTCGAATTTCTTCCAGCATAAACTTTTATCATCGATGTAGATTCTCAGGAACGCGCTCTTAGCGTCTCGTTCGCGGAATGCGTTCACGGACGCGATATCACGCGTTGTGGGACAATTGCCAGAGTATACTTCTTGAAAAAAAAAGGGGGAAAGAGATAAAGAGAGAAAGTAATCTTCGCGCCATTACGCACACGGTGAAAAGTACTGATTCCCGAGAAAGGAAAGAACGGCATTGCCTTAAAGGCTTAAAGACTACGAAAGCTCTTATCTAAAATGGGAACGAGTAGTCAACACGGATTTGTAGCGCGCGCACAACGGTGACTATCCGAGGTACACTATAAGTAGTTTCTCTGACGTTCAACAAATTGTGATTTCTTCTAAACGCGCCCGAGCTTTGTATCCAGACAGTAGAGTGATGTGTGTGTGTGTGTGTATGTACGTGCGAGAGTATAGCCAATGGACCATTATTCTCATTCGCGCCTGTACGTGTCCTCGAAAGAGCTTTCCGGTGTTAAAACGTTTCTAAAAGGCGACGCAACGGGATGCCAGCGCTATTTAGTTAAAGTCCGCTACACAGGCAAAGTGAATAGCAATTAACTACCGGGTGGAGGCGACTCGGCCGCTTAAAATGTAAATAAAATTTAATTAATGACACGAACTTTATTCCGGAGAAAATGTCATCCTTAACTTTTTCCGAAATTCAAAGGGGGAAAGAAATTGGCTTTAAGGTACCTTTATTCCGCGGAAACACCCCTCTCATTTCTCGAATTCGAAATTAAATTATTTCCCGTTACATTTAATCGCAATTAATGTTGAAGACATTAACAAGATCTGCGAAGACTTTAATCCGTATACGAATGGTTCATCCAACACGGCGGAAGGAAGCCGTTAAAAGATTAAGACGTTTTCCAACACGTCTATCCGACGCCTTTCAGACAATTGTCCCCAGCATTCTCATCACGAATGCGAATGATATCGCCCGGAATCGGTTTCATTACTCATCCGGCGCTTTACCTTCGGACAAATGGAAGTGTCTCATCAAAGTGTTCCCAAGCAGAAAATTCTCCCTCCAAATGAAAGCGCGGTGATTTACGACTATTGCGAGCGATTTCACGGATCACGCGATTAGATTCTCGTGCCGTAAGCGAGACGCCGGAGCATCGGGTCTTAATTGACGATTATTAAAGGGAATCTTTGTGTCTTCCGTTTCGTCGGGCGGCTCTAAATAAAATTCTGCATTATTAGCGAGCGATCGATTCATTCTTCGACTGAATAATTCTCTCACGTCGTTTACCGTAATTGGCGTAATTAACTTTATTATCCCGAACTTCGATATCCATTTATATCGCAACGTGTGTTCGCCACGGGCTGCGATAAATTTTCAATCCCGCGTTTGTTCCCCGCTTCCTCGCCCGACGAAAATCGCTTAACTTCTTCCGAGATCGTCCGCCCGCGTATCTTTCCGCTTCGATCGATACTTCGATAGCACTTTGTGTTATTGGGCCGCCTCTTGCAGCTGACGATAGTCCCAGGCGCCATGCAATTTCCGTCAAACGTACGTTTTCTGCGAAAACGTGTATGCCGGCCTATTCGTAGCGCAAGCAATCACTGAAGAAATTCAACTGTATTTCTGAAAATTTTCATTGTGCCTTGTGCAACTTTCTCTTCGATCTCGATCGAGACGTACATTTACCTACTAATAGAAGAAATATTACAGACTGTTAAAAGGATGCGGCTTATTCGAAAAACTAGTTACCTAACGCAAATAGAATACGATTTAAAAAGACTATCTCTCGATATAATTTCAACCATAGATCCTACACCAGCCCTACAAGAAATTCTGAATGAATGCTCGTTTCGAAAGGCGTAATTTTCGCCAAAATATTTCCGCGATGCAATTTGCATCGTTCGACCCCACGACACGACAAATTGAGTGATCGCGAAGTGCGTTTGCCGTAAGAAAATATTTATAGTTAAAGCGAGCGCCGAGAGTCGGAAACATCTTCGGGCACGTAGTTTATCCCGGGCGTCTTCTTGCGAGCGCCGTCCAAACGACTTTGCTCTGTCGCGTAGATTGTACTCTCATTAGATAAACCTCGACCTCGTCTGTGCATCTACGTAATTAATCAGGTACTTAGCTACGTAGACCCGAAGCTACGTTTAACTCCGTATAACGTAAGAATCTCGACCAAATTCTAGAATATGTTTCAGAGCTGAGATTACACTCGGGGGGGCCTCAATCTGAAAAGATATCGACTTTTAGAGGAAACTATTATACAGCAGCGGGTATTTGTTGTTAGAACGGATGCTTTTCCAAAGCGTGTTCTCCACGAAATCGAGGTCGGCAAGTTTCAACGGGAAGGAAGAAACGTGATGCTTGAAAATTGAAAGCAAACGACGGTCTTACAAGGATCGATTGCAAATTTTTCGCACACGTATAAAGCGAGTGTATGAAAGTGTATTAAACAAATATATCACACTTAAAAAAAATTCGTGGCCAACAGTCTTGGGGAAACTATTTATGTTTAGAGAATTGTGTATGTTGTTGTAATGTGACTAAAAGAAACGTGTAGACATTGCATAAGAATTTTTGGCGAGTGCGAAGCGGCCAGTTATCAAAAGATAATAAAATAAAGTTAAAAAAGATAATAAAAATAGCAAGACGCTTCTCCGAATGCGTAACAATCTCTACGCATTTGTAAAAATACACGACGGTCGACGCACGGTTTATCCACTTTATCGTATCGGATATAAAAAGAGAACGTTATTAATAACACCGTTTTTCTCATCGGTCACAGCTGACGCATAAATAATACCGGTGTAATTAATGCACAAATTCTGTTCGAGCTATCAATTATTCTCGCGAGATTGCATCGTTGATTATAATTGCGATCCAATATAAACTAGAAACTTGCAAACTGATTATTTACGTTGCAGGCTTTGCGTATTTACACATTTGCCTCGGCAAATGACAATGCATCCACAGCCATCGTGTAAAGTCCGCGCTGCTGTGAATAACAAGTCTCCATTTCGCGTTTAATCAATCGAGGAGACAATGACGAAGACCCAATTGTCATCGGCGAAATCATTAATTCACACGAGCTTGTCTTGATGACCGGTGACCTCGCACATGAAGAAGATGAATGTTCCTCCGCGCGTGCGATCCACCGTCTCGTGGACTTTAGACATGTACATGTACGTTTGTACTTGATAATTGTCGGGAGGACTCGTTCCGCACTAAAGGCCGCGCCGCGTATTATGTAGGCACGTATGTATATGTACGTGTATGTATATTTTACAGATTTTAATATAGCGTATGTGTGTATTTAAAACGCGTGACACCACGTACACAATCGTATACACTTTATATGTAGTTTGTACATCTACTGAAAGTAGAAAGAGAGTGGCATTCTGTATTACGCCTACCGCAAATGACCAACTTGATAGATCGATGTATTAACGATTTCTTCATTTGTAATGAATAAACTATTATACCGTACTTCACTTCCACGTCGCATTTTCTTACCCCGCACGCTCGATCAATTAAGCGGACTGGATATCCCCGAACGATGAGCCATAAGAGAGGAGCTGAAACGCTAAGGACTTGTCGTGACATACGTGACAGTCGGGAATAAGGGAAAGTATGCTCAGAAATTCTGCACGTTAATTTCCTTTGGAATTTAAAAGTTGTGGCTCATATCTGGGACATGGAATAAGTGACGATGAAAGAGATGTATTGCAATGACGATGAAGTCAGTGATATACATCTTTGTACATTTATTTTGCAAATTATCTCCAAATAATGATAATTACTAATAATCATTATAATTAATAATAATTAATCTTTGATGCCATAACACCAAACAATTGTCCAAAAATGTCTACTTAAGTAATGTACAGCGCTTAATAATTAATAGAGATTAGTACCAACTCTCATACACTTAGCTATCGCAGGAACTCTCGTGGCGAATGATAAAGAAAAGTGAGCTAGCTGCCTCATTAGCTCTCATTAGCGCTCGTCGTTTCGTGCCCTCGCTCGATTATTACTGATACTAGCTCCTGCTATTTTCGTTTTTACAAAACGAAACAGAAGAAAAACATTAAGCTTTCGTGTCTGTATGTGTAAACGCATATATTAACGTAGTTGCTATACGCGCCTTTTGCACGGCAGAATCTTGTATGGTACAAGTTTTCTGGATACTGCGCTGTTTTCTCTGTCGGCTCCATAGACATACATGAAAAAATATAGACGGTGCGTTCGGTTTTAAAGTTGTACAAATAATAGAAAAGGATAACATACTTTGGACCGTGGTTCCGTCTTCGTCTATCGTTTTGAGTAGGGCTAAAATTTAATGTCTATTGTCTCTTTCCCTACGCGTCGTTAGACAGAGACAGAGCTACGGTTCAACGATCTTTTTAATTTTCTTATTTCGAAGAGATAAAAACCGCGCAGTCGATATATCATATGTCTAGGGTCAGGTCCATATGCCGAAATATGCGCCAACGTGTGAATAAAAAAAGGAAGTACAATCGGTGTAATACTCAGTTTAATATTTGAAAAATATAACGTATATCTCTGAGTGTATATGTATAATATAAATATAAAAGAAAATACATAAGTTACACGTGATAAATTTTGAAAATTGACTTTCCTGACGCTTGCAGCAAAATTCTGTTTATTTAGGCAAATTAGGCAGTAAGATATATTGTATTTGAAAGTATTTATAAATATTTTAAATATTTCAAATATTGCAAAATAATATTGCGTCTCTGCCCTAATGCACACAAATTTAGTCTCACGACTAGAACCGCCAGAGACATGCGCGTGGAAACTTAACAGTAAAGAACAATTGTATACTCGTAAAACATAATTTCTTTATAAGCTCACATACGTTTTACTTGCTAATCTTTTTCTTATAGACATATATGTGCATACACAAGCATACAACAATGAAAATCAAATACCCTCGCGCGCATATACACACTCGCACATACGCATATACACAAAAATACTCTCTCTGTTGCTGGGAGAAATATTGTGATGTTTGAATTAATATTTCAAAAAGTAGGCAGAGTATGTCGACGAATTGCTAGACAGACGGTATAACAGTACAATGTTAAGTGGTAGTAAGTCGATGAGAGAGAAATTTTAATTTATATATTATTAAATTTGTCTTGAAATTTATCTACGCGTGCGGAACACAAACAGCCTTTCATTTCTTTTCTATGTATATACATATGATATATTATTCGTCAGAAAACAAAAAGCTCTCTGAGAAAATCCCTCTCAAACATCCCGTCCCCTCTAAAAACGAATTTTGAATAACGCTTAAAAATAAGTACACCGTATGAATTTATGAATTTAATTGAAACCTGCTTGTTCATAAAGATATTGTGACTGGTTCGTTAACACCAACAATTAGATGCACAACTGAAATACAGGCGCGACGAATCGAGTGACATAGACAAAACTGATATAAAAGTAGAGGGAGTAGGACGACAACAACTTTCCTAACGGAAAATCGTCTTGTACCATTTTTTTTCTAATATCGCACTATGGTATCACTTTACGATCTTTATTTGCTCTCGATAATACATACGTAAAGTATGTGACAATGCGTAAAGTGATACATAGAAAAATCTCTCGGCTTCATGTAACAAAATCGAACACTCGACTTGCGTATAACAAACAATCGATGTAAAATTGGCGAAAAATTTGTCGCGCTCGGAAGACCTAATGAAGAAATGCCTTCAAAAGCGATACTTTCATTTTTAGATCAAAAGATCTCAGCGTTTTGCGAACGATTTTTTCCAACACAACCAACCGAATTAATGACAATTTGTTCTGTTTGATCTGATCAAACGTCAATGAATCAGACTGCCATTAATTAAGACGGAACCGAGAAAGTCACACAAAGAAAGCTGGGATCGTTTGATATCATTACACGCGATTGCCACGAACTCGGCACATGTCCCGTGACCAGCATGTGAGCTTATGACAAAGTTTACATGTATCTATGAATTATCGAGGTACCGTCTGTTGGACAAGGTGATTTCTTAGGTTTAGATCCCCATTACACGCAACACTTAGTGCAACCTATGGCGGAACATCACGAAGCGTACATCCTATTAATTTCATGTTGATAACGTTCCTGAACCGCTTTTCTCTTGAGTTTGAATGCCGCGGTAACCAAACCCATGTCGGGCGACCATTGTTCTGCACACAATTTCACCGCACCTGGTATTTCAAACCTTTGAAGCTTACCTACAAACAACAGAAGTCGAATAACAATCAACTCTACTGACAATAGCAAAAATAATAGTCAAAAACATAAAGAAACATACATTTTTTCGCTTGCTCAACAAGTTCTTGGAGTACCGCTTTCTCGATCTGTGGATTGCCACAGAGCTCCTCAAGACTCTTTCCCGTTATCCCTAGGTTACTGGCGATTTCTTCCAGATAATGCTGGTTAGGTACGACCAACGCCACTGTATACGCTTTATTCGCATCGCCATAGACGCATATGTTTTCTACGACAGGGCAAGTCTTCAACTCGGATTCGACTTTGCCCAAGGAAACGTATTCGCCTAGTTGTAGTTTAACCAAGTCTTTCTTTCGGTCTGTAAACGGACATTCATCGTCAGAGAGACATCAAAAATAATAAAATTGTCAATGTGAATATTATATTTGTCTCGTAGAAATAGAAAGATATTATGCTCGTGATATTTGTTGTAACATACCAATAATCTTGATGGTACCATCAGCATGAATCTCGCCAATATCTCCTGTTCGGAACCATTGTCTGCCGTCCTCCTGGAAGAAGTCTTCCTTCGTTTTGTCCGGCAGTTTATAGTAACCAGCGGAAACTATGTCGCCACCGATCACTATCTCTCCTCTAGGATGTGGATGATCTTTGACTCGATAGCCAGCCTCTTCCCAATTCTCTAATCGGATATCGCAAACCGTAGTGGGTGCTCCGACTCTCCCGGTGGTTCTATCGTGCACTAAAAGAAGTATATAACATAACGTGATCATCGGGTGGCGAGTGTGGCGCAGAGAAACGTGCGCTGCTTAGTAAACAAATGATCGAAAATATCAGAGTTCAAATCTACAGACACTACTGATTTTTTCGAAATCTCCCGAAGTAAAACCAAATTCTCAAAGTACCAGAACGAACTGAATAAAACAGACTTTGAGCCTAATACACGCGGAAGAACATGATCATCAAATATGCAGTATTAAAGATGCATACTGTCCATAACGGTTGCACAAGAGGTCGTTTCCGTGAGACCATATCCTTGAGTTACGGTGACGCATAGGCAGAGTTTCACTTGATTATGAGTGTCTGGGCTGAGTGGAGCGCCTCCAGAGAGAACAAGCCGAACCCGACCACCGAGCACTTGTTTCGCCGCTCCAAAGATGTATTTGTCAAAGAGAGGTGTTTCATAGCCTCGCTTCGTCCACTTCAGTTTGTATTCGTACGCGAAATTGAAGATAGCTTGTCTGAAGGGGCCAGATTTCTTCACTTTCTCGTTTATTCCTTTGGAGATGCGATCGAGAATAAGCTAAAACAAAACGTTTTATACTTGTGTCAGCACTACGTATAATAATTGTACCTCAAATACAAACGAGAACGCCAAATCATACTTAAGTCCGGGCAAGCTGAAATTCACATATTCTCATTTGTATTTGAGTCATATCTTAAAAAAGTCCTGATTAAACTTTAGGTGTTTATAATAATTATATTAAAATCAAAAAACCATTTGGAGATAAAGAAATTATACAGTTAAATCATTTTTCATCTTTTTACTTATAAATTGAATTAAATTTACACGCTGGATGACTGTTTAGCGAACGAGAAACTTTCTTTTCAAGATCTAAATGATAGGAAGAAATTGAATGACTTGCAAAGATATTTACCGGTACTGCGGTTAAGCAAGTTGGATGTAGGACGGAAGCATCACCCTTTGATCCCCTCTGAATCTTGCTACTCGAGTCGATCAGCGTAAGCGGCGAGCTGTAACCGATGGGCACTCCGTTTAAAAGACACACACTCTCGGCCAGTAACTCGAAGACATGGGCTAGCGGCAGGAAACCGAGGAAAACGTCGTCCGACCTGATCTCGACAGCGTCGCAGAAGGCTTTTAGAGTGCTTATGATATTTTTATGAGAGAGAAGGACGCCTTTCGGTACTCCGGTCGAACCAGACGTGTACATAATTATAGCGGTGTCATCGCTCTTCGGTGAGATAGCGCTCGCAGTTGACTTGTTGCCCATTTTGATGACATCGGCGAAGGGTAGCAGCTGCACTCCGTCCTAAAACAAAAGCAAACAATAAAGGATACCGGAAAAAAACCCAAGAAAGTGACGTACTGTTGGCCATAAGTAGCAGTACTGACATCAACGATTACGTAATAACGTAATAGCAGACAATCACAGTCAATGTCACAGCTATTAAGCAAAAACCAGTTTTAAAAGGGAAATAACGCCGACAGATTCATGCGCGGCGCGTCTAATAACCGGTTATTTGAATTATTAATTGATTTTGCTACAACTATTCTGCTAACACTACATAACTATACAAAAGGAAAGCCTGAGAAAAAATTTGTACACTTGCGATTAACGCGCAGTCATCTAACTCCCAATTCATATTGAAAACTAATATTTAAAACATACCTTGAAACCTTTGGTGCTGGTTGGTTTGAGCTGATCTTCCATATAGATAATTTTCTTCACCGTCGGCACCAAGTCCAGTAGTCGCTTGAACTTGGGCAGAAGTTCATGGCTGGTGATGACAATGTCCACCTCGGTTTCGTGGATACCGTGAGCGATAGCCTCGTCGCCCAAAGTCGCGTAGATCGTCACCACGGTGAAATTCTGTTTGAAGCATGCGTGCGCCGCTATCATCCATTCCGCTCTCGTCTCGGCGAAGATAACGATGTTTTTACGTGGCTTCATACCAAGCTCTACCAAACCCCGGCCGAAGGAAGAAGCCAATTTATCGACCTCACTAAATGACTTCCATTTGTATTCTCCCATTTTATACTGAAAAAGAAAAACGTGTAAAATGTTACAACACTAAAATTAGCCTCTCTTCGACGCTGATATTAAATATTGAAAAAAGTTCCCTATTATGAAATAGCGGGGGGGGAGGGTTAAATTAATAGACATCGTCTGTTGACTACACCATGAATTTATCGCCCTTGGAGTGAAATCTGTTTAATGGAAAATTAATTGTTGGATTGTGTAATCGTCGCGAAAAGATTTGTGATTGAATTTGAGTGTTGAAAACCAGCTATCTCATATTAGACACCTATACCTCATAACTGAGAACTTTCCTCTAATAATAAAAAGTACACGTTGGCGCGTCCTAAGAATCCCTCTGCCTACGAATTTCCTTTCAACTTCCATTTCTCAGTATATAGAACGAGAACTTTTCACAGCAGACGTTAAAATATTCGTTCTTAAATATCTGCGTTACCTTTTTAAAGATTCTGCCGTTAGGTTGAGGCTCATCCTCCTCCGCTAAGATTTGCCTGGTACCGAGACACCTCTTATCGCCGTGCATCTTGACGACCCAAAGAAGCACCTTTTCCAGAGTATCGACCTTTTCGCGCTCGAGCATGACGTGCATCGGCTTCGGGGAGTCGACGCTTCTGTAAGTAATCTGGTTGTCATCTTTGGAGATCGGACGGGCCTTGATCCTCCGCGAGGCCTTGCGCTTCTCCCATGGTCGCTGAAGTATGAGATACACGGGAAAGGTCAGCAAGTCGTACACGTACGACAGAGCCTTGATCGCGTGGATCGCGCCGTAGATCCAGAAACCTTCCATTTCCCTGTTAAGTAAAGGAACCACTCAAATATTTAGATTATCTCTTACAAGACATTCTCCGAACTAACATTCGGTGCTCGTGAAATTTGGGAACAAAAAAAAATTACAAGTGCCAAATCTATGATACGTACATTAATAACTAGATCTTTTCACTCTCGCATTCCTCCAAGAGAGAAAAGGATAATTGTAATTATATAATTCGATCGTTCTAGCTTTTCAACTTTTGCAGAAAGGAAAGATTTGAATATTAATAATCTATCTCTCCCGCGAAATTTGTCTTATCGAATTTCGCAATACCCCATTCTTATCTATATCAAGCGAATTATCTACTCGAGTAAGCAGTTCTGAAGCATAAACGAGAGCAAAGGCTATCGGACGGAGTCATGCGTCTTGCGGACATAATTTGAGTCAATAATTGAACACTATCTCTCATACGCGGGATAAGCGGCCGATAAGCGACAATTAATCATCGGAATTAATTCCTTCATGGAATTTCTACCGGCGAATTGGCGCCTTTTATCAATATTTTAACAGATAGTTCATCGTATTATATATAACATTTATCATGCTACGTGCGCAGGAAAGACAGAAGAAGCGCTCTTGGAGCACACAACATATCTATCAAGATCGATAAAGTGATAGGATAACAAGCTATTGAAGCAATAGGATACAAATTCAATCACACGTATCGACAGTGCGCATCAACAATTATAAGACTGTAATTGTACTCCTGCAGCGAAGAACTAGAAAAGCATATCATTTAATTAGTTCGATTAATTAGCGCATCGCCTCGTAGTGCCGGGATGCCCGCACTGTTGATTTTCAACGCTAATAAAAAAAAACCGTGTCCACATACGATCAACAACGCGTGACACATGCATTTTTCTTAGTCCGGCAATAAAGTGAAAAAATCTTATGCGTTGGCGACATTTTTCAAGGCGATAAGACACCTCGTGAGATACGTTTGGTCGAGGGCTTATCTAATCAATATTGAAATATTTAAGAAGGATTTTTGAGATAACTTGTGATCTGCAGGAAACGTTTTACCAATCTTTCATTTTTCTTTCCTTTTTCATTTATCCGACAATGTATATACGCATATTGCGAAAAATTCACATATATAAATATCGCGAGAAAAGCGAGTCATTTCACGACACACAAGTGCTAGACTTAACTGTCTGTATTCGCGAGAAAGGGACGAATCCGAAAAGTTAATTTCAAGTCCGCTCGTAGGTTTCGCGAGGTCAAGTCCGGTCCCGATAGAATCGGCTCGCGCTGTGCCACGAAGTCAATTTAGATCAGTGGACTCGCATATCGATTACGTTTTATTCTGCTGGTGATTGCGCGGTATCGCGTTCGCGATATACCGACCATCCCTGAACTTTACACGACGGACTTATGCCACCTCTCCCTGCCCGTACGTTATAGTTAAGTCAATACTTACTTCACGCCGCGATGTGCTTATTAATCAAGTTTCTTTCGATTTCGCTCGCTATTGTTTCGATCGTACGTAATGCGTGACACTGCGTACGAGAAACAAACGCGAGTTATATCACGTTTCTGAGATTCGACTTAAAACAGCAAGTAGGTCTGACGCGAGCTTTGATTGATTAAAGTAGAAAGGGCCGTCTTTTAATAAAACATTTATTTGTATCAAAGTTGTTTGCGTTATATTTGTATTGAAGAAGTATTGAAAATTTTTGTCTCAATACTATTGCCTTCTTTATTTCTTTCGGTAAAATCTTATGCACGATTGCTTGGATATAACATTTTAATATAAAAAATAATTAAGCATCTAGCTTGTATAAATATCCATTTTAGTCGGCGCAATTTGATATCATTACTTTTGTAGAGACAATAAAAATGCTTTTTTTTCTAACAATTGATATTACGCGGTGTACAGGAGCACATACCGAAGACAACAAGCAACCGTTCTTTTCCTTTCGGCAATAAGTTAAACTTATTTAGACAAGATGTTTTAAGAAAGATTTCAGAGAGTCACGTTAATCTGTTATTCAAGTGTCACAGTATGTATTGACTGTCATTATCTAATCTTCTGCTTCGACATTATTGTTATTTGCGCCACAGTCTGAACGTTCAACGCAACAACGCAAATAATTTTACTGTATATATATTTTCATAACCCATTATTATTAATGAGATAATGTAAAAACACGATGCAAATGTAAAACGCGGGTAGTCATAATTGCGACTTAATTGCGTTCCTTTGATCATGAGAGCATTGAAAAATTAAATATGAAATATACGGTAACACACGACGTAAGGCAAACATGAAATTAAATCTACATTCGTCGCAGAAGAAAGAATAGCACGATTGCATAATTTATGAGTCTATAAGTAGGAGGAAAATAGGGAAATAGAGCAAAGATATTGACGTATAAAGCCAGTCTTCGAATCGCTTTTTCAACATTTTATGAAATGTTCGTATAATCGATATACAGGGAGGACTAAATATTCCTTCGGCTCGAGAAACTGTTCAAGAGAAACAAATTTTTTGAAGTATCGATTATTTTTAGAATAAACTCTTTTTTTCTAAAAGAATCCAATTTTCTAAAAGTCTAAAAGTAAAATTTTTTTCTAAAAAGAATTTTAGAATAAACAATTAAATAGATTAAGAATCGTAATTAAATCGTAAATAGATCTAGCTTGGTTTTATCAACTGCGACCGTTACTTGCATCTTTCTAATTATATCTTAAGTCTCGTATATTAATTAGAAAATGAGAAGAAACTCGTTGAACTGTCTACGTTATAGAATTTGTGATTAGAAGAGCACTCGGTGACACTGAAGAGCGTCCTGTGCGACGATCGAAGGATCAAGATCGAAGTATCGTAGATAAAGACACCGAGAGAGGATGCGCAATCGAGATTCTATCGCTATACGGACTTTGAACGTCGCGAGTTCACATTGCACGCGGTGGACGAATGGTGCCAACCGGTCTCTCGGGCCTTATCTGCGATCCAGCGTGTGTCCAAAGGGTCTCGTGCGTATGGCGGAAGTCGAAGGGGGACGGAGGGGGTCAGCTGTGCGGTAACAGGCGTCTCACGGTCAAACGCCGGAGTATATCGCCCGCTGGAGCTCTCGAGACCTCGCGGCTTGTCCTCTTTTTTTTCCCCAACGATTTGCCGCGCAACCAACCCCCGTTAGTCGAATAAAAAAAAAAGACTTTTCCTCTCGCGATCGCAAAGGAAGTCCAGCGAAAGCGAACAGGAGTTCGGATCACACTTTGCGTATTGCGATTTGCTGCTCCCCTTGCAACGCGCCGAACAAACAGTCGAAGATATATTCCTACGACTTTATTTATAAGACACCGAGACGAAAATGTTTAGTTAAAAAAAGACTGGACCGCTGAATTTTGCAGGAGTAACGAGATGACAGCGTAGGCGACGGTGAAAAATTAAGTAAACTCGTATTACAACAGTCGCCCCTTCATTCTGACGATGAAAAATCGATGTGGGCATTACGAAATATCCATTCTCCTCTCTCATTTGCGGCAATTAAGAGGTCGTGAAGAGCTTTATCTTTATTTCAGTGTGCTATCGGTGTTCGGGCGGAAAAGTTTCGCATTACTTATGCAACTGTAGAGTCGAAGCAATGATACCTTACTAGCTGATCTAACTCTGTGGTTTTCCTATCGCGCCTTTATTAAAAATTGACACAGAGAAGAGAGAGCGGCGGAATCCATTAAAAATAAACGTCTTTGCGTCTTGGCTTTTTCCTTTAACACAAATTGATACAAGTTGAATCTACATCTTGCATTTACTTAATATAATAATTCAACGCTTAACATACTCTTTAACGTGTTATCTAGCGCACAGTTAATACGTAATTTAAATATGTTAAAGTACAGTATACAAAATACAAAATTTATTTAAACAAATTACCATAGATAAGGTCCACAAACTACATGGAAAACGATTACAGTTTAGTCCGAACATTTCAACGGCGCAATGTCAGTCGCGTTGAAACTGGCAGCTTATATTCAGGCGCTAACAATTATCGTGTAAAAATCTGTCGTAAAGAAACTCACGACCAATACTTTTCCACAGAGGCTCACGATCGACCTTGTAACAATATCGATTGCTCCGATTCTTGATGTGCGCTATCAGTTTTATACCGACAGCCGATCTAAATGTCTCTCCAAGGAAGAAACTGAGAAGATATACTTACGTCCTGTTGAACGCTAAACGCAGCAGCGATTCTGAATTCAATTTACAACATGCCGCCTTTACCAATTTGAACGAGAGATTAGAATCACGTGGCCAAATTTCATATAAAGTACTTAATATACGATACACTATCATGCGATCTACGATTTCACATATCGCATGCCGATAACGTAACATCGAGAACAAAATCGTCATGCTGGGAGCGAGAAACGGGTCAAAGCGACAGAGAAACAGTGAAGACAACAGCAACGGCCGTTTAACCGGCGGCTAAGTTGCAAGCTACACCACGGGATTCTGCGGCGACGTGAGAAAATTAAAAATAGGTGCGATAAAAATATCAGAGAACGCGAAGACCGCAGATATATAAATATAGAGGGGAAACGTGACTAAATATAGGGTGCGATTTAAATTGCAACGTACAGAGGGGGGGGGGGAATCGTAAAGAAACGTGCTCGAGTATCGCGGCGTGGCGAGATAAATCAAAGAGCACGGAGGGGATCCCATCGGATGCGTTTCGGGAAGTCGTACGAGCGAGGCCCACGGCGCGTTTAATTTAACATCGTGAGCCGTTCTCGCATCCGAGGGCGCAGAGAAAGAGAGAGAGAGAGAAAGAGAGAGAATCGTAATAGTACAAGCGACAGCGAGACAGAAAATACAGCAGAGAAAGAGAAGAGCTCATGCGGTCGTACGCAGCGTACGACGGCGCGATGCATAGCGGTGCACAGGCTCATGTCCTACGAATTACGTAGCTACGGCGGGCAGCCCGTGCGTTTACGCTACGACTCACTGTTTATCGTCCACGATCATGGTGGCGG